TTCTCCCAAGAGAATATTTGTTCCATTTAAGCGTGACTTTTTGTTCGCCTAAAAGGATTTGCAAGTAATATTCTGCTAAGCCTAAATCCGCATAATGTTAAGAAAACGCATCTTCGCGTCATAATCGTCAGAATCGCAACAAAATTGTTTAAATCAAATTAGGTTTTGCCCTTCAAATTGTTTAGTTGTTACAAGGCGATTCGCCATAAAGCTTACTTCCTAACTTTTTTTTGGGGGGGGGGTACGTTCACCCTGAAAATAAATGGGAAAAACATATCATTTTTCAATGATACATCGGACGAAACCAGACGGATGGCGATTACAGATTGAAAAAGGCGTTTCCAATTTACAGCCTGGATCGTCCAGCTCCTTCTCATATTTCTCCGTATTAACATTTGTCCTTGCTTGCTGTGCACAACGGCAACAACATTTTGGAAAACGAATTAAAGCAGAGAAATGTAGTTGGTGATTTTTCCCTTTCTTTCAAGGGAAAGGATATGCATGTATTGGCTGTAATCTACCTTGCAAATTGGAAAACAAAATTATTTTACCTTTTGGTAGCGTGGTGAAGGACATATAAATGATTACTTTCTTAAAAAAAAATATCGTCAGCAGGTGGTGTTGTCCAACCTAAAGTTTGATTGGATCTCACACACAATATAAGCCGCTGAGATTAAAATATGGCTGACAAACAAGGGAATATTGGTTCTGAACACACGAACTTTACTCAACAACAGTCGTAGAAAACGTGGCTCGGAAAGGCCGGGCCGCAGGGTTAGGGAAGGGGTGGGGGGGGGGGGGGGTAGCCAGAGTTTTGATTCCTTATTGGGTATAGGTTGTAGGCCAGTTGATTAGCTTCGATGCGTTTACCAAATCCTGATTGTTTTTATGCTGTTATATTTTTGTATGCTATAGTTTTGGTTGCCACAAGTTTTCACACACACCAAAACAAAGAAGGCTCCCAGCTCTGAAACAGGACCGTCAGATTTTCTGAGAAAATTTTGCTTGAGCCGAAAGTCGTTCTGTTTTGCAGGTTTTTCCGTCAGACTATAGTCCGCTGATAACACTAATTTTTCCGTTTTTCTATCCTTGTTTCATTATAAAGTGCGTTCTGTTGGTTTTATCGTCTTAAAAATTGGTTTGACTGAATTTTGGGTACACACAGCATTAGTTTTAGAAGGGGGGTTAATGGTCATTGTGGTTTTTGACATTTTCTTCCCCCCCCCTTCATTTTAACACATATTCTTTTCGTTTAATTTACATTTACTTTATGGTTTGTTGTTCTTGGTAACCTTCACATTTTTCTCTTGGTGGTTATTCTCTGTCGGAGTTCAGCACACTTATTTGGTCCGATTACATCATGCGAACGAATGTGCTGGATTGCTCCAGAACGCAAGGATAATGAACTCATTTGGCAATAGCCGAGACGAATTCAATCTGTATTGACGAATATTTTTGACCAAGTTCACTTACATAGGTTGACCAAACTTTGAATTTGAATGATAAATGACTAAAATTGATTTTGCTAAAAGCATGTGAAGTGTTCTTCTCTGACAAATGTGAAAATTAGAATTGGTAAATTGAATGAAAAATGTTTTTAAAATAGCCGGGAAAACCTATATCAACGGGAGTATGATTATTTGGGTTTCTGTTGTTGTTTTTTTGGTTGATTTTTTTTTTTTTGCTTGAAGCAACAAAATTGTAGGGGTGCATAAGTTTCAGCTATTGTGGATACATGAATAACACTTTTCGAGTAAACAGTGAAAAAACAATGCACGACCTTTTGAACACGAAACACGATTTCGTCAGTAGCACTCTTTTATTCCCCAAAATCAGTCGATTGACGCGATTTCTTCCATATGACAGCAGCAAGCCAGACGAAATAATTTCACAAGGTGTTAATATCAGCCAGTATATTCCAGTAAGCTTTTTCATAATAGGTCAGTAGGTTACTTTGGGATAAATTTAATTTCAAATGATCCCATATGCCTTTAAACTTACAAGAATGTGAATTGTTTTAGAAGCCAAAGATATGTACCAAATCCCTCATAAGTCCCATAGGGTCAAAAAGTTCGTCCACATTTTATTAAGCTCGGTCAAAACTGACGAAAATGGTTACTATATTGGTAACACACGTTAATCCTTTTGTAAGTATTCCCTACCTTAACAATCAACTAAAATATGTAAAGAGGGGTTGAGTTGGATCATTATCAGTTTTTATTAGTTTTAGGAACATAATGAATGCATCGTTTCATAAGATGTGAAATCTTACAAGCAGGTTTCTAATTCTGATTGTGACCATTGTTGCTTGTATCATAGGTTGGCACGAACATCCCGTGTTTTTTTGTGTTTCTTTACATTGGCTTATCTAGCTCCCAGACGTACTTATTTAAAACTCAATGGTTCTTGAGTCTGGTGTGCTGAATGGTAACCCATAGCAACAGCAGCGTAGCCAGGGTTCTCATCCTGGGGGGGGGGGGGGGGGGGGCTACAATGGAGGGGCGCCCAAAAAAATTCATCGTTTTGAAAGGTAGACAGGTTTTTTCACCGGACACCCGCCCTCCGTGAAATCAAATAGTTGGGGAGAGAGGGGGTTGGGGGGGGGGGGGGGACATCATCTTCTCATGGGGGCGCTGTTCGAAACATATATCATGGCTACATCAGGCAAAAACCTATTCGCTTTCGAAGGGACGTTACAATAAACAGCCACTTGCGAAAAAACCCAAGGATTTGGGTGAAAAATACGCACAAAATCGTTAAAAAGGGGACTTTACGTTCTTCCAGCTAATCGTGGTAACTCAAATGGTCGTACTTTTCTCCGGATGCCAAATTTTCAGTGTGGGTTGGAGCAACTGGGGGGTGGCGCCCCCTGCAAAGCAATCGATGAAAAATGGTGTGCTAATGAATTGGATGACGTCAGCCCGCCCCCAGCTGTTTTGAAACCCGACAGAGGAAACATGTGAATTGCACTCACAGTAATGAGCGACCGATACTAATTGTTATGAAACCAAATACCATGTTTCCCTCATTAAGGGAAAAACAGTCTCCCGACTGTCTCTAATTGAGACCCTGCCAAAACTGATAATAATGGTTGCTATTGGCAACACATGTTTACCATTTTTGTTTTGTTCCCTCTGAATACTCCAATTAATGCATTTTTCGCAGGATTCAGCAAAAAAAAAATGCACCTGGGTTTCCAATAAATAAAATACTTATGCCAGTATTACCTACATTCCAATTATCTTATTTATTCTAGTAAGTAGTAATTAGTAAACAGGTCACAAGACTTTGCAAGTCTCGTTAATGAGACAAAGACAAAAAAAAATTACTGGAATCGGATTTGTAAATGACACCAACAAATAAAGCTGTTATTTACAGCCGCTTGCCCCCTTTCTCTAAAGTAAAGAATTAAAAGTTTCTGTCTGTGGATTTTCGGATAAAAGCTATAACCATCTTGCATGCAAGGCCCTCCAGAGGTGACATTGTGTCAGTTTAAGCTGTGACTGTGGATATGGCTTGGGCTCAATTACTTGGCTATGGTCAGCATCAACACAGTACGGGCATATGGGAAGTTGCTGGCGCACGTGTAACTCCAAGCCTTAGCCAGTAATTCAGATGCGGCCTATGGCTGTGTCTTGGCTTGTTTGCTAATGGATGTGGTTAAAGCCACTCCCATACTATTATGTGTAACCGTAAGCCGTAGCCATGTCCACCCCCTTTCTTAACTGTCCCACTAAAACAAAGGGCGCCCTCAAGCAATCAGCATAATAATGTACTACAACAAATTTTACCTTTCTAGAACTTGATTAATTTTAAAAGCAAATCCAAAGGTTAAAAAATTAGCCTGAAAATAAATAACCTTAAAAAGCACCATGTACAACGGGTCAGTTTTTGGCGGACGGCCTTTTTTTTCCTTTCTTCAAATATATACAAAATGTTTATTTAAAAAATGGCATGGTTGGCAAATGCCTCGACATGTCACTGCACTTTTGGCCATGGAAACTACAGCAAAGGATACTAAAGCATCAAACAGCAAAATATTAAAAGGTTGCCTCTGAAAAAAAGGCTGTGGCCGACTTGACGATGAAGATGATCTGAAAATAAGTCACAGTTGTCCATTTATATGGAACATATTTGTGTACGAAATGTAACCTACGGGGTAGTTTCAAGATAAGTTTATTCAATGGGTTTTGCCCTTTACCGATGTATTTGTATCAACACTGTATACTCAGCCTTGTCCCCGAGTGATCCGATCCCTCTGGAGACGTGCACACAATAGGGTACAAAAGATTGTATAAGTCTCCACAGGGCAATTTCTATAGATGAATACGTCTCCACAAGATATTCACAAAACATATATATATGGATTTTACTAAAAAAAACTAGGAATTTCCAAGGTGGGATGATCCGTCGCAAATGGAAGAGTTTTAGAAAAGGGATATAAAGTCTGAATTTCAGCCAAGGAAATTGATTCTGGTTAAAATAAGAGCATTTTGAAACTTCACTTTGGCAAACTCGAAAACTTTACTACACGAGAACAAAGACATGTCTCCACAAGGATACAAATTTCAGCATCTGTGATTGGGAGAAAAAATTCACTGGGGTGGGACTCGAACCCACGACATCCTGCAGACTGTCTTACCACTCGATCACCGAGCTTGCCAAGGTCGGTTGGCTGGTACGAGTCTGATATAGCAGCAGGTACCGAAACCAAACTGGTAACCAAACTAGTAAGCAGGAGGTCGTGGGTTCGAGTTCCACCAAGCGATTTTTTTCTCACAATCACTTGGGACAACACTGAGTATGTAGTGTTTATAAAAATCCGTTGGTGAAAACCCAATATTGAATTTACATCACCCGACGCAAATTCCATCTTGTGAATAGTAAGATTAGTATAGTTGGAATGCGTTGATTTTTTGAACAGGACAAACTCTGTTTTGAAATTCCCAATGCGAGGTGAAAAAGGTCCGTGCATAGCAAATTTTTTTAAACAACAGTTAAACAGTTAAATATTTACTTTGTCGACGGAATTACTAAATTTTGAGGATCAAGATTTGGCCAAAAATGCAATGGCACGTCAACGATTACATTAATGTTAAAAAATACAAATGCTGTATCTAAAGACACCGAATATCATGTTTCCACTGCCACATATTTCAAAGCTGCAAACCCGTATTTCCTGGAGAGATCCTTCTGAAATTCCTCCTTTAAAACTTGCAGACACCTGTGAAAAGAAAAAAAAGAAGAAGAAAATTTAATGAAAGAAATATCTACAACTCAAAAAATGCTGGAGACATAAAATATTCATCTAAAAAGCTTTAACTTATCACTTAAAGAGATGGAGCTTAAACCAGTTTAATGGTTAACAAGATTGATTAACTATATTAAATCATCTGCACTCGAACAGTCAAATGTGCACCAGACTGGGGTATAATCCGGTGAAGCGGATTAAAAGTGGATTAACCGCTGATGCATTAACTGGATCAAGGCAGAGGTTGGCAAAACTAGGTGAAGCATGGCTATTTCATAATAGCAGTAATAATATGAAGCTAATAGACCAATTGGCCTATCTCCGTTTGTTAGTTAGCCAGGCCCCTTAGACAACCCTATGGAATTTAGTACGTTACGTTTTGTTTGTCTCAGATTTTGTGCATTTCGCGTCCAATATTTTACAAGCTGCGTTGATGCAATTCTACCGTACGACAGGTTAATTGCATACAACAATTGAATAATAAATAATGTGGTTCTTAAGCCAGGTTCATACTTCACGCAAATGCGAATCGAATTTGACATTCGCTGTGAAATTCGCCTGAGATGAAATATGTTCAACTTTTACGAATTCGCAGCGCAAATACCTGCCACGACGTCACAAATTTGCATTTGCTTTCACTTTCGCGCCGAGTATGAACTGGGCTTTATATAGCATTTTATAGCAAAGATTTCAAATTGCTTCACACTGATAATTCCTGTTCATCAGGCCATGAGACCAGTTTTTTTTTCTGCAGCAGCTTGAGATCCTTTACAGGTGCCCATTTATACTCCTTGGTGGAGAGAGGCAGTTGAAGTAAAGTGTCTTGCCCAAGAACACAAGCACCATGTTCCCAACAGGGTTTAAACCCATGTCCCCTGGCACATGAGTTGAACACTGTTCAGTGTTTTTTGTTATTTCAATCCATTAGCACATAGTTTTATTTCTTCTCTGATAAATCCAAAAAGCCATTCAGTGCTGAAGTGGTTTTAGGGCAATGCAGGGGGTAACAGGCTGGGCGGTTTTGGGAGTACAGGAACGACTGTCTACTAAAACATGTACTCATGCCTGTCCCTGCAAAACACAAAACCACTAACCCCCAAGATAGCTACCATGCAAGAAGTCTACACAATGCTTCATTCAAATGTATCAAAGCACTTCAAGATTATTACCCCTGTTCATCAGGCCATGATAAATATTAGAACAGCCAGTTTTAGGCCACAATTGTAATGTTCCAAAACAGTTTTGAAATACTCACGCCCGATACACGTCGCTGGAACGAAATTTTGCAATGTCAAAGCTTGGCGTGTGCGGCATGTGAATGATGAAAGCGTTGGGTAGAACAATGAATTCAAAACTGGGAAAGAAATGCACAAAAAAATCTTGATAAGTGTTGTCAAGAAGTTATATGTAAATGTGGTTCTTGGTTCTTGGTTGGTTCATCTCCTAAATACTCCGCGTGGGAGTTTATACAGGAGACCAGAAACACCGGGGCAAACCCCTTCTCTTAGCGATAAGTGTCACTGGGTTCTTTTACGTGCATTGGATTACACAACACACGGGACCTACGGCTTTACGTCCCATCCAAAGGACGAAGCAATAATGGTTAAGTGCCTTGCTCAAGGGCACAAGTGTCCACCTGGCGGGCTCGAACCCATGCCACTGTTGCCTCTGAAACACCATAGCATGAGTCCGGTGTTCTTAACCGCTAGGCCATGACACTCCACAAAATGTGATCCACTTTGCAAAAAAGAGTCTGATTGGGTTAAACTAGTTAACTACAATAATGAAATGGGAATGAAATAAGCTTTCATTTGATTATCATGGACCTCCCTAGGACATTTGGTTGCATTGTTGTGCTTGTTTCATTCAGTCAAGTTTTTTACAAAACTAGAAACGTCTCAATGGAGAAAAAAGGGTTTAAAAAATGACAAATACACTGTAACTAACCAAGAAAAGCACTTGTCTTTTTCGTACAATGCTGAATTTCGTTGTAAAACAAATTTAAGCTAAAACTATCAAACAACGAAAAATAAAACAAAAACAAACAATCTAAATTTTGATCGTAGTTTCAAAGTTGCAAAAGCTTGAATTCAAACTATTCGACATCCGACTCATTTTTGCAGAGCGGGTCACAATATTATGTTACACCATACTAGGGCCACACAAGGCACTACGGGTATTGCAGTGCTGTAGTGCCAGTGTTGTAGTCTATAGTCTTTTTTTTTACAAGTTCATCACAAGCCCAGTCACAAGTAAATCACGTCAATTCTCAAGTTTGATTACTTTGGCACAGATGACTTGAATAGCCCTGTGACTTTACCTTGGAATGGAGGACTTTTGATTGACTTGTAATTGACTTGTGATTGACTTGCGATTGACTTGCGATTGACTTATGATTGACTTGTGATTGACTTGCGCTTGACTTGCGCTTGACTTGTGATTGACTTGTGCTTAACTTGTGATTGACTTGTAATTGATTAGCGATTGACTTGTGATTGACTTGTAATTGACTAGCGATTGACTTGTGATTGACTTGTAATTGACTAGCGATTGACTTGTAATTGACTAGCTTGATTTGTGATTGACTTGTAATTGACTTGCGATTGACTTGTGATTGACTTGTAATTGACTTGCGATTGACTTGTGATTGACTTGTGATTGACTTGTAATTGACTTGTGATTGATTTGTGATGCACTCAAATAAACTCCTAGCTGTCTCCATTGAGATAACACTCACCCTTGCGCATCGACCTCCATGATCTGGGAGACTTTGTTCCAGCCAAAGCCCACAAATCTCAGGTCATAGGTCGGGCAGTCCTTTCTCATGACTATGTAGGGCTCAAAATCAGGCTCCCATTGTACCTGTGGGTGACATAGGAACAATCGAAGGGTGTACAAAGTTATCCATTCTTGAGGGGTTTGTTAGGAAAAATACAGGACACAATTTTTCAACACCAGGAAATTGGGAATTGCTTAAAATGTATCAATGTAACCCATAACTCCTAGTTTCATTCAGGCAAAAGAAATTCACAAAATGCTAAAATTAAACAGCAATACGACTTTGGATATATGTCTTATAAAAATGTGCCCTCTAGCAGAAGAATACATGTTTTAAGGAACAGTTAGAAAAATGCATTGTTGGCATAAATTGATTTATGTGTGCTTTAAGGTACATTCCATCATTTGCAGCTATCCAAAAAGTAACTGACGTAATTATTGTTGAAAAGCATACTTGGTTTAAAGATAGTAATGGTACTAAACTCCCTGTGAAATTATTCTTTCTGGCAAGCTGTCATTTTGAAGAAATCAATGAAAGAAGGTCTTTCCAATGATTTGTCTATTAAGACGTATCGTTGTAAATTTCCGTTAGTAGTTCGTTTTTTTATTCGGCGAAGCGAGCGCAAGCTTTGACATGACGCTCGCACTTGCTATAATTCGTCGGTTCAGTGCGCGACATCGCGTAGCTACAATCGGCTCAGTGAGAACATGTCTCGGACGCTGAATTCAGGCCCAATTCCAAACATGACTCAGCAACTTTTGATTTGAAATTGAGATCCTAGAATATTGTTTTCTCGGAATATACAGCATTCACCGAGCATAAACACCTCAACAGATCCAATGAATGTTTTACCTGGTAGGGAGTGGTGGCCGTCCGCCACTTGGCAAAGTTGGTGGGAGCGTGGCCCTTCTGCCAGACGTGGTAGCGGAATGTGAACAGGGTGCCCATGTCCAGCATGTGCAGCAGTTCCGCCTTGGATTTGGGAAAGGCCAGGCGATAGCGCAGCGTCTCAAAGGCTGGCACCACTAACGCCTGTCGGGCACAACACACAAGAGTTGAAAGGCCACATTGACACAAGTGGGAATTGAACCTGCAACCCTCAGATCATCGCACCGGTGCTTTACCAACTGAGCTATTGAACTCTTTATTGGAGGTCTCCCAGTTTGTCACTGTATCTTGGGAGACCATCAGCATACGTACAGCTGGATAACTCAGTTGGTAGAGCAAAGGTGTGGTGTTCCGAAGGTCCCAGGTTCAAACCCCTCTCCAGTCAATTGCTTCATTCAGCCTTGTATCGAATGAATTATAACCTACTCAGTTACCTTTATTGTTAATTTCACTATGGGTCATTCTATACATTTGGGGTCCACTATTTTTTCTGTCCCTGTTACATCTGACATCTATGATTTTATAATTCTGATGCACTCCTTAATGCAGTCATCCTCCAAGAGTGATTATGAACAGCAAACTACCCAACAAATAAAATAAATATTTGAAGTCATTCTTAATGATACTTAAATGATAAATTCCCAAAGTACCAAGATTATAGGTACAGGAAAATGTCACATTTTGGACCCTGAATTTATAGAAGGACCTTTATAAAAACTTTAAAAATGTACAAAACCTGCAAACTGCTGGCCAACTACTGCGACCTGAAATACAACAATTATGAAACTTAGAAGAGTCAGATTTTTTGTCATCCTAACAGAGTCTTTTCTTGTTCATTTGTCTAAACCAAAAATAAATGTGGGCTAGAGCACTACAATGTAGCTTTCTATTTTCATGCTTAACCATGAGTAGTTCTGATCGTAAATAAGTACGACAAACTGAACAAAATATGTTTTGATGAGGTAGTATGGTGCTGCAAACGTTCTGAAAACATGTAACAAACATTTGATAATAAATAGAGGTAAAGATATTGGATTTCTTCATTGGTAAAAGCAACAACCTGACCTTTTTGGATGTCTTCATGTCCATCATATCCACAGCCTTCCTGAGGTATGCATACAATCCGTACATAGGCAGAAAGTCGATATCGGACAAAAAGACGTAGGGCGTGCTGACCTGCTTCAGGGCTGTGTTGCGCAGGTAATTCACAGGGTAGAATTGCTACAAGCAAAAATCATATCAAGCAAAAGCAACAGTTTGTCAATCAATGTTATGTTGTTGTTGGGGTTTTTTTTAAAAGAAAACCTAGTCAGTTTCCCTCAGTGGATTATTTGATGATTTTTTTTGCCGCTCAAAAAAAATTCCAATTTGGAGAACTTGATGAATTTTTTGTTAAATTGTTTTTTGTTGGTAACTTGAAGGTTTGCAACAAGCAACAAAATCATGTATTTGGTTAGGTTCATGCCAACATAAATTTTCAACATTACGCCGGATATTTTGTGGCAAATGTTCTTTTACAACATCAAATTTGCATGGTTGTTCAAATTAACTAAAGCAGCCATTGTTCACATAAACCATGAACGGGCCTTTACAAGGTAAAAAACAAAACAAGTTTTTTTCCATACCCCTTCTTTATAGACTATATGATAGCCCACGTTCTTGCGTTTCATCAGTACTTCCGAGCTGAGAGTGAAGCGCAGAAACTGCTGGGCCTCCGCATCAGACATGTACAGGGCCAGACTGATGGGGCCTGAAAAGAAAAGAAGAAAGAATGAAAGAAGGTGAAGTCAGGTTAGTTCAGTGGTCCTTTCCTCGCCTTCCACCTCTGTGACCAGGATTCAAGTCCATCGCAAGCAGAGAAGTGGATTGGGTTTTCAAACCCTACCTGATCCCGTAACTTTTTTTAGGATATTAATCTAGGGTTTCCCCCACTTCTAAACATTTCTTCATTGTCTTCTCTCCACATGTTTCCTCAGGCTGGTGACGAACAGTGCTTTTATAGTAGACTGAACTCTGACTCAAAATGGCGGACTATTGTGGGCAGCCATTTAAAGTCTGATAACGACCAGTGCATCAATTGTCAGGTTGACCTATGATGTAGGGGTCAACCTAATTAAATATCTATGCGCGTACCGTTTGATGCACGAGTGTGCAGGAGAAGTAGGCCAATCAAACTAAAGGGGAGGCGGCACAACCAAGACACAGAGCAACCAATAAGATATCAGAAGCACAAGTCAGTTGCCTGTCCTCGTATACAAGTGTGTTATGAGGTCAGGTCTCCGGTCTAAGCACCTAAGGTACTTTAGAACAATCTGTGGTTTCATTGCACAAATAATAACGGTGACAGTCCAACGTCAGAAATTATTAAAGTTCACGTCTCCTGCATTGAGTGAGGTAGGTACTTAACACATTCAGCCTTTGCTTATGCAGCAAGCTTATTTTAATTAACAAAAAAAAATAACACAATATCTCAAATTTGCCTCACCGTCCCAGTGTTTACATATAGATTCCAGCATCTGAAGCCTGTCCATAGACAGCTGTGCTACAAGAGTCACATCGTTGCCATCCGGTTTCTGTGCACACAAAAAAGACAACTTTGAATCAATCAAGCATTTAGCAATTATTTCCAATTGCCTAAAAGACCAATAACACAAACTACACCAAACCCTTAACATGTTGGTCCAGCCCTGTCAATGTGGATTAACCAGGGGTACGTCTATGTAAATTCTAGGGTAGTGCCTGAAGTTTTCTGAGTAATGTCAGCAAAAAATGACCAACAGTGCTTCCACAAAGAACATTTGTTCATGCTGGAGACAAAGTGGTTTTGATAAAATGCCTTGCTGAGGAACACCATCAAGAATCCAAAACTTTCCAAAAGATTCCACATGTCACTCAATATAAGCTAAATACTTAATCACATTCACTTTGACAACTGAATACAAGTTTACTTACTGGTGTGTACTGGTAGTCCAAGTAGTACAGGTGTGTTCTGTGGGTGAGGATTTTCTCTCTTCTGAACTCGTAGCACTGGTCATCTTCGTCTAATTTACTAAACTGTAGGATAAAATGAAACAAAAATTTACAATCATCATGCAACGCCTCTGTAACAAGAATCCTTCACAAATAAGAACCAGTGCTAATGTTTGGTAACTCCAGTGGCATTAAGTTATGCATTTGTGTTAAGGCTAGCGCACATCTTTCCAATTTTACCGGTTCATTGGATCATCGAGCCATCGTACAGAGGTGAGCGCTGAAAATTTGGACCGATCTGACCGCATACCGGCGACCGGATGAAATCAATCATGTTCAATTTTTTTTGCATCCGATTTTACCAGATCTGATTTCACTATTTATATTTATGTTAACCAATCGGATTCACAAAGAAAGTCGCATGGTTGTCATCACGTGACTGGTCATCATGTGACTGGTCATTGTGTGACTGTTCATCATGTGACCGATCATAGGACAGAATCGGGCATGTGTGCGGGTAACGTAGTGGCCTAACAGTGGAAAAACCGTATCGATGATAGGGTGATCCAGGAAACCAGTAAAACGGGAAGGTGTGCGCCGGGCTTAACCCACAATAGATGAAAATCTTAAATCTTAGACCAGTTACTACATGTAATACAAATGGAAATGGAAATCTAAACCAATTTTGATGTCCTGAAACCTGTTAGACCAACAGTCCCAAAAGGTCACATGCTTCCAAATTTTTCAAAATTCACATCACAGCATGAATACTTGCCCCAACATCACAAATTCAAATTTCCATTTATTCTGCGTTTGGACTGGCCGTTACCAATGGAAGAACTGTACTACCCACAACCACACCATAAACTTGAAGTTCAACCAACAGCCCACCTTTTCTTCCAGGGACATGTTCCCTTTTCCGTCCGCGCAGCCAAACAGCTCTCTCCTCAACAAGTTGCCGTCATACTCCAGGAAAGTCAGGTACAGGTTGCGGAAGAACTCCACGTGTTTGTTCTTGACGCGGAGCTTCTTTGGGGAGTTCCAGTGGATGACCTTCAGGTCTGTGACCTCAGCATAGCACAGCTTTTTATGTGAGAAAATTTGATATAGAAATTTATGTTTTCACCTGCGTTGGTTTGTGTGTTGGTTGGTTGGTTGGTTAGTGTGTTTGTCTGTGAACAGGATAACTCAAAAAGTTCTGGACGGATTCTCATAAAATTTTTTTAGGGGTGGTCCTTGGTAGAAGTACATATTGATTAGATTTTGGAAGTGATCCAGATCTGCGTCTGGATGCAGGATTTTTTAAAGGATTTTTCACCCATCATATGAAAACTTACACCAGATCGCTCTGTGTGACCAGCTGCGTGTGCGTGGCACTGACCCGGTGACCCTGTATGCCTTATCACCCACCTAACCTAACCACACAGGTCAATGGACTAGACCATTTTATACAATGGGGGAGTGGTGGTCCTTGGTACAAGTACAAATTGATTAGATTTTGTTTAGCCTAGGCGGAGGTGTGTGCTCTCCGAGCGCTTTCTAGTTTAATATTTAATATTGGGTTTTGAAATCACCAACATAATTGAAATAGCACTGTATACTAAGTGCTGTTAGTAGGCTCAGGTGGGAATCGAACCACCACCTCCTGCTTACTAGTGCAGACTTCTTGACTCCTCGACTAGCTAGCTTGCTGGGTTGGCTGGCCAGTTTGAGTCTGATATAGTAGGCTATACCATCATACGAGATATTGAAATGTCAAGTTCAGCAAGGCACAATCTTTGTTATCCACACTGCGCATAGAACATGACAAAAGCCTAAAAGAAGATTGGTTGACTGTAGTTCATACACTGACCAACGACAGCTGATTTGATTTGAAGCAAAAGATTCAGCGTTGGATGATTGTATTGACATACCTCGCTGCGTGTGTGGTCACTCAACTGCAGGTTCCACGCACATGGCAGATTGTGTACGATGTAAGGATGCTGCTTGATGACTGCATTGATGATGTCCTGAAATGTAACCAAATGAACTTCAGATAATAACAGTACATGTACCTAAAGCTGTATGCACAGAGCATTACCACCAAATTCTCTGACTTTTTATTCAAATGGAATTATCACACAAATCACAAACATTAAAATGTTCTCTTTTTTTTCAATATTCTGAACAGTGTCATCAAATTTTAAAACCTTAAATTGTGAATGCATTCCTTAAAAAAACTCACAGAATTAAAAAAAAAACCTGGCCATTTGTAAGTATTTTGTGAATTTCAGTTCAGTCAGCAGTCGTCACAAAATTAACAAACGATGTATTAATTTACAAATAATTGTACTAGTCAGTAGAACACACAAAAGTATTGCTTCATTCTCCTACTGAGTTTTAGCACATATATGCAAAATGAGTTCTTCGCTCACCTGGTCGGCGAGTGACACAGACAGAAGACTCATGAGTTCCTTCTCTGCTGTCAGTCGCCACATGTGCATCCAGTTCAACTCCCTGAGCTTCTTGAGGTCAAAGAGCATGACCCCTGTGTTGAAGCCTCGCCCCTGCAAAGAGATTTCATCAATCATTAACAAACTAATCCATTTTACTTTCATGTCAATATTGATAGGGGTTGGGTAGATATCACAAGCATATAGTGTATCAAAATGAGGGAATTTGTATCGTAACACTTGGATGTGAAGAAACTTCAAAAAAGATAAAAAAAACTTCAGGCATTGGAAATCTGAATTTCTGGACAACCCAACTTGTAATAATTACTATGAAAAAAAATTAACTGTTTAAAAAAGTATTGCGGAAATGAAAATTAATACAATTAACGGCAGCTTTTTTTTTAACATTTGAAAAATAACACCCAATATACACGAAGCACACAATGTGAAGAACGTACATGTACACGCATGAAAGAATATTTCAAACAATGCATTCATGTCATACAGCTAAGGCCAAAAAAAAAAATAAGTCGGTCTCTGGTCAGCGCGCGCGTCGATTTTAATCATGCACGCCGGTCTTTTTTTTTTCCAAAATGTTCTGCGGTAGCTCCAACAGCGCCCTCTATTTCTGCACCTCCTCAATTTTTTTTACCAAAGAGCATCAAGGAATGGGAAATTGCACCAAGGCAAATGATCGAAAGCACCAAGGCAAATTATGGAGGACACCAATGTACATGAGGACACCAAAAAAGCAAAATAGTACCCCACCTTGACTGTACAATCCAAGCTTGAAGAAAAAAAAAAAAAAGCCGCGTGGCCGCGTCAATTCCGGAACTTTGGTCTGACCAGAGACCGAATATTTTTTTTTTTGGCCTAACATAACTACTTAAAGTTAAGTTTGTGATGCATATTGTTTCTTTTCCCCTCAAAATCACGAAATAATAATATTATGAAAATCTATTATTAAAAAAATTACACCTGTACTGATCATGCTTTGCCTTTGACCATGGCAAAATTGCCCCAAACAGCAAAACATCAAAGAATTCCATAATTTTATCTCACCAGTGCTGGCCATGGTTTATGCTTCTTCCAGATTGTCCCCAGATACCAGTCGCTCTGGTTCTCCACCAGACCTATGGCCTTCTTGCCGGTCAGATGAACGAAGATCCTCCACAGCTCAGCAATGTCCGTGGCAAAAGTCACATCGATGTCCAAAACTATGGTCTTTTTGATAAAAATACAGACAAAGGGGTTTGAAGAGACCTTGGCTTCATTCAATTCATTCGAATTTGATTCGAATCGTCCAACCATGACAACGGTTTATGAAAAATTATGCAGTTTCAAAAATTGCAAATTGAAAGAGTACACAAGTGGAAATTGCTACGTGACAATGTGACACTGCCCAAAACGAACGGCAGGGAACACCGATCGCACAGTGCTTGCATGCATGGGAGCACGCGATTTGAATTATCCGCGATTTGTTCAGGCACTGTGCAGTCGATAAGGGCCTATTACGGGCATGTGTGGTTACGCTTAGCAATTTCTCCTCGCGTAATCTTAACATTTGCAACTTTTCAAAATGCATCATTTTTCATAAACCGTTGTCAATCATGGACCATTTACAGTCTTTGGTAGCAAACAGGGTACCAAAATGTAGCCAACAAAATTCCCCAAAGGTCTATATGAATGGCGTCATCATAAGACGATTAGATTAAAAATTATGAACCCTTCAATGGGTGTGGACTTTCTTTTTTTGAGGTGTTTATTACCTTTTCAATATCCTCTGGTAGGATCTTGGTTATAAGTAGCTTCATGAGACCAAAGAGACCGGAGTAATGCTTGTTGGGTATCCACGACACATCACTCTGCCGAAATAAAATAAAAACAAGAAAAAAAGTTGGGTCACGTAGGTGAACAACTGAGTGCATACAGGCATGGTAACAATTGAAAAATTTGCACACTAATGACTAGCAACTGTATATGACTGAGGCACAACTCACAGCCTTAGGGCATTTCCCATCGCTACATCAGAACAAGAGGTCAAAAGGTGAACATCTGGAACAAGTTTTCAAACTTTGTTTTTGCTAGGATCCAGAATTTCTCTTTAGTCAGTTCTACTTTCAATCTTTTGACTTGATGAAAATATGTGACTGTGTTTCCATTTTGCCACACCGTGTAACATTTTAAACAAAGCAAAATTATGACATATACAAATCAGTAAACAGAGATATGAAAGTGAGCCATTGTAAAACAAAGTTGACAAAACTGCAAATGTGTTAACATTTTGTTTATACTTGTTTATACACCATTTCTGTTTGAAGATCATATATTTTCATGAATCTTACCTTGAAGTCTTCTGCGAGGTAGAAACTAACTTTAACTGGAAGAAAGAACAAAAGAAACAGTGAGTTGTTATTATGAATGTTCGGCAACTCCCTTTCACAATGAAAATTTGACTGATAACAGCCATGAGTGCAAGACGAAAATTCTGTCAAAAAGTCCGACAAGCTTTGGGCTTATGGCCAAATCCAAAACAGTCCATTCCTTCAGCTTCTTAGTTCAAATACAAATGTACACCTTCATTGGTGGAAATGAAAAAGCTTCTCCTAACAGGTTTCACCTACCTCCGGGCACGTCCCACGTCCGGAACAGCGTCTCAAGGATAACCTGGGCCACCTCGTCCGACAAGAAGTGGAAGTGCAGCGGATTCTTGCGGTAGAACAAAATGGACTTGATCAAATTGGTCACCTCTCGGCTAGCGTTGTGGCCCGCGCAGACCACTGCGATTTGGATGACCTCACACTTGGGCACGGCCGGCTGCGCATTCTTGCAGCCCATCCCGTCAGCCGATTGGTTGCGGCGTGCGCCATCGCTTGCACTGAAGTTGACATTCTGGTAGGTCTCGTAGGTCTGCTGCAGCTGAGCTTGGGAGATGCTGTCCAACAAAATTCAATCAACAGAAGGATTATTTTAGTATCATTAATTTGTATTCATGGTTTACTCATTATATGAATAAGATTAAAGGTACTCAAGGCACCCGATCAAATATGAGCTTGTATTCCTCCTAACAGGAGGTCGTGGGTTCAAGTGCCACCCAAGCCAGCTTGTGATGTTAACAAAAGTTATCGTATATTACTGAGTATGCATCTGACAAATAGCAAACGGGGAAAATTTAAATTAAAATCTCCCTAACATAATCTTCAATCATATGACATCTCCTGTAACAATTGTAAATGTTACTCCAGGTGAAATGCTCTAAATACAACAATGTTGTTCAGTTGTTTCCGTTTCACACCCACTACATAACAGGAAGGAAAGTGCGGGAACCATTTTTCTTGCATAGTTCTATATTTGAAATGGAATTTGGAAAACAATTTTTTTTTGGAGAAAAAAAATATGAAAAACAAACATTTATGAAATGGAAAAATAGAGGTCCAACAATTTGTAGTGATAACAAAGTTCTGGAAAACAATTTGAAATTCTAGGCGTCTTGTTCGCCTAAATATAGAATTGGTCATTAGGTGACTCATGCAAAAGTACTGAAAAAATCACTGCTTCCAAAACATTCACTTCCATTTCGGGGGAGGGGCTCTTAATACATCAACATACCTGAGCTGTTTCTTGAGCATCTGGTTCTCTCGTTCCATCTCCTGCAGTCTGTCCGCCATGGTCTCTCGCTTCTTGAAATCCAACACATCCTCCACGGGCTCACTCGGACCTGATGATGGGGAAAGCAGATTTATCAGAAACGGATCCCGGACTGAGTAAAGTGTGTCAAATATTAAACAGTGCATGATCGCAACCGAAGTTGACAGATATGACAGATGGCAGTAAACTCCGGCTAACCAACCTAATGTCTTACCGTTCCCGAGAAAAGACGGAAAAAACCCGCTTGTTTACATCGGACATGACGGAGTACGAATACGTTTTTCGTGTCGTTCTCATGTATGCTATTCACGTTGTGTGTCTCGGGAACAGCGCGCGGTGACCAATCACCAATGCAAAAAATTGTGGTTTCTTCAACGTCCGCAAAAGGCGAACACTTTACGCGTACGAATGAAATCACAACTAGCATCCAAACAGCTCGAATTTATGGGGTCGCAAAAGTGGACCCCGAAATTGGTTCTCGCACGCATAATACAGGAATAACACAAATACACCCAGTTTTGAAAGGATATTTGTGTGGATGTTTATATCCTAATTTAAAAAGTTATTTCCGATTATCATCATCTCGTTCAAAGCGCGTTTTGTAGCCCAATTGGGCTGTTCCAGGACCCAGTGTCCCTTTAAAACAGATGGCAGGTGTGGCAACCATACATGTACAACTGGATCTCGTTCTGTCCAACAGACGAAATTAAACCTTACAATAACATCAGTCTCAATACAAGTGGTCTGTGGACCGCATGTGTCGCCATTTTACGCGGTGGATCCCTATACGTTGCTTGTTCTTATAAAAAAAGGTCAAATATTGTGCATTTTTAGATGACGACCTCATATGACCCTAGATGACCTTTGACCTTCAATTTTGGAAGACTTGTGATGAACCCCTTCCAAAGGATCACTCCAGCCAAGTTACATTAAAATCCATCAAATTCTGAAGACAAAGAAACATTTGAAGCATATTTGAACAATGACCTCTAATGACCCCTAAATGACCTTTGACCTCAGTAATCCGATGAAGAATTGTGTGCTCCCACTCAAGGGTCACTGCATCCAAGCTTCTTCAAAAATCCATGAAAGCATGTGAAAGTTAATCATTATTTTTTCAAAACTTTAACATGTGGGTCTACAGATATATACAGTCCTACAGAATTTAGGACTCGTTAGAGTCTCCCAAAACTTTGTTTAGGTGACACAATAAAGAGAGGGACCACTTAAAACAAATATGATCAGCAGTGTTCTACATAATAACGTAAACATACACATGTACATGTATCAGTACATGTACAGTAATGCACATAACCCAGATACCAAACAGATACATGTATACACAAATTGTATCCAACCTTAACTTGTTGATGGATGACAATAACATCTGTTCATTTTATCACTGCTGCCCAGGCTAGGGAATGTTCCATCTCTGCTGTGATAGATTGACTAGTGTGCTTTATTGCTGTTCTGATGGATTCCATTTGGTATCAGGGTAATGTATTCCACAGTATGCTAATGCAGTTAACTAATAATTTATGACACAAGCAGGCAGCAGTGGTAAACGATGATATTCATTTGTTTATATACTGTACTACGTTTATGTAAATGCAGTCCTTCTGATTTGAAAATCACAGGCGTGTGGAAAAAGGCACACCTGGATTTTTCCAGGCGTGTGGTTTTTCTAGGTGTGTGATTTTCTAGGTGTGTGATTCTGTGGTTCAGGGAAATTCAGGGGTGAAATTATTCGCACTTCTTGGGAGGCTTTTAGGCGTGCTATGGCGTGGGGGTGTGATCGCACGCCTCAAATCAGAAGGACTGCAAATGTACATTGTAAATGTTGGAAATAGTTAGATTTTGTAGAATTATGGAGCACAAAAACCGTGACCCCAAAAAATATCTAGATGTAATATACTTTATATTCCAAATATTAGGTCCTGACTATTCCGCTGGGTTTCCCATTTAGGTTTCCCATTTCACTGAGTTTCCCATTTATACTTCTGGGTGGAGAGAGGCAAGTGGGGTGAAGTGGCTTGCCCAAGGACACAGCATATGGCTAGCAGCTGGATTCGAACCCCTGACCCTCTGAAAATAAGTCACAAGCCTTAACTACTAGGACACACTCTCCGCTCCCAAATCCTCCACAATGCTCTTTGCAAAATGGAGGATTTTGCAGGATTGAGGTTACATGACAAAAGTGTGTTGCTGATTTCAGAGTATGCACTGTGTCAAGGTCTTGGGCCAGACCTTGTGTGCTCAGCTGTGCATAAATTTAGACCTAGATCATACTTGAAATCCTCTGCACTGCTCCAGGATGTCAGCGGCTCTGCCTCAATATATTGACAGTGACTGCCACTTGCCAGAGGATGTTGCAGGATTGAGGCAGTGGTCACCCCTCCAATGACCAGATTCAAGAAACCATGGAGGAATTTACAGGATTGAAGCTATATGCTATCTTAACATGGAGCCAGTTGGAGGATTTGGCAGGATTGAGTTTACATCCTAGCAAAAATGCCTGGGGAGTTTAAGGTTAAATTATGGCTATCAGAAAAATAAAGAAATAAAAGCTCACCATCTCGACTGCCCAGTAGATACTTGGCACCAAGCACCACCACGACACACAGGACCAGGGCAGCGCCCAACAATTTCTTGTTCATGCGAACCACGTTCATGTCACCACAGCAAGCGTCTTCATGCGTTCTGCATATGAACACAATCTGCCACCCTGACACCAAGTTCACAAGATTGTAAAGTGCGTTCTGCAGAAGCCTACTCCATCATATGGGTATCACAGATCTGGCATTCCAGTGAATGAATTTCCAGTAAGGCGCATGCATACTCTTTAAACCCAAGGCTGATGAGAGGAGCCAAAAATAAACTCAAGTTGCCGCGTCAGGCCATTTCCAGAATCATCAAGTACACATGTGTAGTCTATCGATAACGGATGCAGAGATCTGCAAGAAAAAAATATATATATTTTTTTCTTATATCAAAACATTAAAAAATAAAATTTGTGGTGTTGCATCATCTTTCATAGTCTGAGTATCACCCGTTATCCACGGAGCCCAGTCTCCTGTCTAACGTCTGATATTAAAGCATGCGTGACGTCATTTTATTCCAAAATCAGGACTAAGAATGTGATTGGTCAATTTCGATGCCGCATTTTTGCAATACAACCTCAACCTATACAAAAATGCTACTCATCGTGGGCATCATGTTTACGTACGTGGGGAGCTTGCATTACGCGCATATAGAAGGCGCCTGCTGATTGGTCAGCTTCTCGAGGTCATACGCAGTCCAGTTGCATAATTAATCGCCAAATCTGTTTACGTATAACAGACCATGGTCAGCTTGGCCAGGGCCAGGGTCTATTACATAGACTACATCTTTCATCTATTGCACAAGAAACTTTTGTTTTTCAAACAACTTTGCTCGTGTAGACTTTGTACGATCTCAACAATAATGAAATGATCCCAACAATAGGTAGGCCTATGCCTCTGAACTATACCAGTTGGAACGATGCTATATTGCAGGGAAGTTACGCCCCAACTACGGCAATGGTCCCAATTACAGTTGGGATGGTCCCAACAATAGACTTTATGCGTAGCAGCCATCTTAGAGGACAATGCTATTGTTTTGCTGGGACATGCAGAGAGAACCTGTAGATGCTCTCTAAGATGGCCGCTATGCAATAGTTGGGGAATTCCTAACTATAGTTGGGACGATTTTTACTGCAGTTGGGACTGTACCGGTTGTTGGGGCATAACAGGCATAACAGTAGTACATTTGGTATGCACAGTGTACTTGAGTACATGGTAAGTTTTTCTGTGTCAGTTTCTATGCTAAAATTTTTCGCTGTGGCTATTTTTAGTCAGTGGCGTCCGGAAATTGGGCACAAAATTGACGGAGTGTTCCCTAACTTGGCGCACTTGGGCAAATCTAAAAAAATTCCCAAGCGAACATTTTAAAGAATTTCTTTAAAGGTATAGTCCATCATTTGTAATTTGTGCATTTTGTTCGTTTGAAGCAACAAACGTGCTCAAAATTTAAAGAAGGATGCTGAACAACTTACTTGATGAAATTTCAGCTCAGCTTCAGCTCAGCTGTATATTTCGAGAAAAACAGCATTCTAGGATCTCGATTTCAAATCCAAAGTTGCTGAATCATGTTTTTGAATTGGGCCTGAATTCAGCGTCCTTGACACGTTTTCACTGAGCCGATTGCAGCTACGCGATGTCGCGCACTGATCCGACAAATTATAGCAACCGCACGCGGGTGCGTCGTGTCAACGCTTGTGGGCACTTCGCCGAATAAAAAAACAAACTACTAACGGAAATTTCCAACGGTGCATCTTAAGACGCACCGTTGGAAAGGCCTTCTTTCGTTGATTTCTTCAAAATGACAGCTTGTCGGAAAGAATAATTTCACAGCAGTTTAGTCCCCTTACTATCTTTCAACCAAGTATGTTTTTCAACAATAATTACGTCAGTTACTTATTGGATAGCTGCAAATGATGGACTGTAGCTTTAAGGTTGATAAATTCTGATAAAACATTATTTTCTGTACTCGCATCATGTCAAACTACATGTTGTGTTTTGGAGTGCAATTTGAAAGGGTTCGCTGCACACTTCAAAACAAGCCGCACCAAAGTAAAATATATCTGTTAACTTTGTAACGGGTTGGTGAACTCAAGGTCTATGATAAGAAATGTGTAGAGCTACTTCTAGAACTGTAAGTTTTGTAAAAACTTACAGATCTGGAAGTAGTGTAGAGCTTGATGGTGTAACACTTACTGTGACATTTGAGGTAAAACTTTTGCTCTAGCAAGGCACTAGAGAAGAAACATCAAAGTGCGCCAAGTTGGGGGCCGCGCCACGTTACAGGACATCAACAATATAAACTCGATTTATACACTAAAATGTAAATTAATGGAAAATAGCCATTACGTAAAATTGATACCTAGATTTATTATTTGACAGGCAAACAGGCATACAGTTCCACAATTGTGAATGGACTGTATTGCTCCGAGACCACAGTTATTTCCCAAGCTAGCCTATGCCAGCTTATCGATCAGCACTACAAACTCAAGTTCAACTGAGGAAAAAGGGTAAGAACAGAGTCATACTTTTCATAATATCAAAGTATTACAATTAAAAGATGAAATGAGGCTGAAAGTCATTTTTAAAATTGATTTTAAGCTCTCTTGAAAAAACAAACAACCAAACAAACAAACAATCTTTTACGCTAGTTACATGGTCATATCGCCCCATACGTATACTCCTGCGAGGATTGTGGAGTTTAGGACAAAGTTCTCAGACTTTTTTTATTCTTAACAAGATTTTGTCGCTCCAAAGTGACATTTGCAACCTAAGGCAATCTTCTCTTAATTATGTTAACCCTATTCGTTTTTGTAGTTTTGAGAGAAAATGCAACTTTTCTTACCTGACATGCCTGAAATTCAAGTAGCAGCCGTGCGAATTGACACACTCACATATCTGTCACCATTTTAGATTTAAATTGACTCGCATTTGTCGCTGCATAGTCGCCGTTGTCATTTTCACCCAATAATTTCCCTCAAAAATCAAAACCCTGCCCTCTTTCCACAAAATTAATCCGGCAGATATTCAACATGGTGTCATCGTCATCTACTTTGACGTCTTTTTGACGAGTCCAAAAAGTTTAAATAAAATTGGGTTTTCACTCTCTCGTAGGAACGGGGTCCTTAACTCAGCGATCCTATAGTGTAAGGCGCCTCTTTAGTTTTGATCAAATTAAAGTCAAGGGTGTTTCTATCATTCAGAAACGACCTTTTCAACCTAACTAAAGCAGACTTCTCTCAATTCTAATGACACCTTTTGTGTAATTTTGAACACAGAACAGTTTCTTGGGGTAGAAGAGATATTAGAATTTGCGATGTTTGTATGCGATTTAAGCATGTTAAGGTTGGTGCCGTGCGATTCATCGTGGTATTGCGCGTTCATGGTACATCGCGGTGATCGCCATTTTTATTAAATGTTTGTGTTTTGTCGTCGTCTACCCCAAAATTTCCCTCAAAAATTCAAAACCCTGCTCTCTATTGATGTCTAATGATGACATACCTGTTTGTTCTTAATGTCTCCTAGCCCCATAAATGTGGCCTATTTACTGGACTGCCTCCGTAAACATAGGCCACACATCCATATGTACAAAAACGTGTCGCACTTTGCCAAATTTTGATTTTCACATTTAGGCTTAGTTTGTAGGGTTTTTTTTTGCTTTAGAAGCATACTCACCCTCTTTATAGGCTATTCAGAAAGTGCTGCCTTTTTCAGATGTCTAATATTTGTTAAATTTCATGTTGAAATTTTAATACACAAACGTGTGCAAATGAATCTGGAACTTTCACGAAAAGTAGACATCTGAAAAAGGCAGCACTTTCTGATTACAGATTAGCCTATAAAGAGGGTGAGTACGCTTCTAAAGCAAAAAAACCCAACAAACTAAGCCTAAATGTGAAAATCAAAATTTGGCAAAGTGCGACACGTGTTTGTACATCATGTACATGTGGCCTACATTGTATGTTTACGGAGGCAGTCCAGTAAATAGGCCACATTTATGGGGCTAAATGTCTCCAAGTCCAACTAATAAAACTTGGTTAGTCAAAAAAATTAAACAATGGATTTTGTTCTCTCATATATGTACGGTCATGACGGTATCCTACTGTACTAGGAACGGGGCCCTACACCATTGTAATTTGTACACTCTACGATCACGCCGACTGCGCTAAACTCCAAATTCCGCACTCATCGGAGTCCCACGGACATGACGGATGTGCACAATAAACTTCCAAATCACACGTTTATTATTATGGTTTCACAAATCACATTTGTTAAAAAATCCAAGATTCAAATATTGTATTTGAGTTGCATCGCGATTCGCGAACTAACTTACCAGCAGAAGAGCGAGATATTTTCCTGGGATAAAAAACAAGAGCGACTGTGAAGTGCTCATCAATGATGATCTCTCCGCATTGTTGTTGTAATGTGGTGATAGCGCCACCACGAGGCGGTTGGGGGTAATGCACATAATTATTAAAGGTATCGTCAGACCCCCTAAAGCTACGCGCTCCAATTTTTGCGCACTCGCCTTTAAGTTTTATGTTGCAAGGTATGCATCCTAAAATATGACACACTTTCACTGGTATCGTATCTTTCGATGCACGAACTTTAACCAGCAGTCGAAAAATGTGGCAATTAATGGCTTTCCCTAAGATTGCAGGCAAAAAATGAAAATCCTTTGGATGTAGTCCAAGTTATTTTTCACTTAGAAAGCCCAACAGACGTGCTGGTTGCCGTTCGCCGCAACGGCATCATGTACATGTATCAGTGACCCTAGAAAAGTTAACCAATCACAATATCACGCACTCTCCTTGACATGGATATTTATCACACAGTGTCGAAGACACATTTATTTTCCCTTACACAAATTTTCCTTATATTAAAAATTATCCCAACGATTAAATTGGAGAACACACGTACTAGTTGATAAAAAATGGGCACATAGAGGTGGATTTCGAACCACAAGTCTTGCGATCCATGATGAGGATGAGATTGCAAGTGATGATAATGCATTTCAGTCCTTGAAGGTTGGAGGGGGACAATATTTCCGAAGAAGGCTTAGGATTACTTACGACTTTTGACGATATTGTTTTCGGTGTATTCTTTCATGTGCAATTCTTGTGTGTTGGTCCCATGCTGCAGTGTCGCACCCAAGGGGGGGGGGGGGGGGAGCTCGGGGAGCATGAGCCCCCCCCCCCAAAAAAAGGTTAAAATAAAAAATATTAGTAATTTTTTTTTGAAGTCCCACGATTCAACCTCGTCCCCATTGCTTACTTTATTTCCAACCTCGTTTCCAATAGTAAGCCCTGCATAGGAAACTTTCTCCCTGTATCCTGATTCGATACCGCAAGTTGCTA